GTGGAAGTCAACTTGGCTATGTCTGGAATGATAGTATTCCTTTGGAGTGCTTTGGAGGATGACGGTGGGGTGATTATCTTAGAATCGAGAAGGAATTGATACATGGCAAGGTGGGGAATGGATGCACCAGTGGGTGTGGTCATGGGGTCTAAGGCCAACGCTGGCCCCAGTCTGTTGTGTGTACCATTTCATCTGAGCTGTGTTCTCCACTCTGTTCAGCTCATCGTCCATGGCAGCTTTGCTCTGATCCAGATGCCCCGATTCCACATCTTCTTCCTGGTCCCGGCAATTATCTATGTGGGGGACAAGCTGGTGAGCCTGAGCCGGAAGAAGGTGGAGATTAGCGTGGTGAAGGCTGAGTTGCTGCCTTCAGGTACAAGCCTGGAGATTGTGAGGGAACCAGCTTGGTTACTAAGGCAACTGACAGAGCACAAGCAGTGCCTGGACCACTCCAGTCTACTGGCCTGGCCCAGTGGAAGTGGAAGGGACCTGGGGTCACTGGGAGGAGTAATCTGATGAGAAATGTTCTTTGCTAGAGGATTGGGCCCCTCTTAAGACTGTGTGGAGGAGCCCAGGCCAGGCTTCCCCTTGCCCTGTTCACCCCTAGCTCCTCTTCAAGGCAAGGTTCCAGTGGGGGAATGTCTACCTTGTCATCAGAGCTGAGGCTGTAGTTGGGGAAACTTTCTGGAGGCCATGCTGTTGCTAGGTTCAAGGCAATAATCTCCTGCATCATCCCTTCCCAGGAGTGACCCACCTGCGATTCCAGAGGCCCCAGGGCTTTGAGTATAAGTCAGGGCAGTGGGTGAGAATCGCCTGCCTGGCTCTGGGAACCACCGAGTACCACCCATTCACGCTGACCTCTGCACCCCATGAGGACACACTCAGCCTGCACATCCGGGCAGCTGGACCCTGGACCACCCGCCTCAGGGAGATCTACTCACCTCCGACCGGTGACACCAGTGCCAGATACCCAAAGGTGCCCAGACATCAGGCCAGATACCTACACACTTTTATATCCCCCCAGTATGACTAGGCTCCCGACTGTACTGCCCCCTCCCTGAATCCAGAGACTGGTTGTCCCAGAGAGCATCACAGACCCAACCCCCACCCTGTATTCTTCCTGATGTCATGTGACTCCCTTTCCCTGTCCACCGTTTTCATGTCTGGCTTCAGAATGATGGCTAAGCTGAATTTAAAAACCACTGCCCTCCCTACAGCTGTACCTCGATGGACCCTTTGGAGAGGGCCACCAGGAGTGGCATAAGTTTGAGGTATCAGTGCTGGTGGGAGCTGGAATTGGGGTCACCCCCTTTGCCTCCATCCTCAAAGACCTGGTCTTCAAGTCATCAGTCAGTTGCCAAGTGTTCTGTAAGAAGGTGAGTGCCAGCCAGCCCACGGATCCCTCAGCACTGCCCGTAGCTCCCGCCTCTGTTTGTGTCTCTGCCATCTGGGCAAGGACAAGTTGGTCTGAAACCTGGAGAGGGGTGGTGTGTTGGAAAGATGCCAGGTTGTCCCGACGGGCAGACTCGGTATACTGATGTCTGTGGGACCCTGCCCAGTTTCCAAGAGCTCCTTCACTCAGCCACGGGGTGAGCCACACAGGAGTAGCTTGTGGGAGTCCCTCCAGGAAGGGCTGAAGGGAGGTGAAACAAAATAAGCGACGAACGAAACTGCATTCCCTCATCCAGAAGAGGCCAGCCCTTGGAGCGCCGGGCTGGGAGAGGGAAGGGCACCTTTGGGGTGGGGCACAGGTCGAACTGGCTCAGGTCTCAGGGTTGAGGAGAGGTGCCAAGGTAGGACTTGCGGGTGGGTTGGCCCTGGCAGCACAGCCCAGCCTTCAGGCCCCCTCCACACAGGCCCCTTTCCTGTAGTTCGGACCCAATGGCAGGCCCCTGCTTGTCTCTCTGGGCCTGGCAGGTGAATCAGGTGTGCTGGAATGCAGCAGGCGGAGGCCCAGCCTCCATGCTGTCAGCACTCAAAGGGTGACAGCTCCTTTCCTGTCCTTGTTCAGTGCCATATTCTTGGGTCCTTCACCTGCAGCACCTGGCTTTTCCTCCTGAAAGTTGAAGTTGCCCCACCACCCCCAGGGGAGCCTACCTTTCATCACATTTCAGGCAGCTGGGGATCCCCAAGGTGGCTGCTTAAAGTTCTGCCTCTAGGCAGCTGCTCAGAGGTGGCCAGTCTCCTGCCCTAGCTGCTCCCACTGAAGGAAGCGCTAGGACAGGCTTGGCCTGAGGAAGCTGCTTCCCACCCAACAGACCCTCAGCTCGGTTGTGGAAGGCTCTTTGGTCTGGCACCAGGTTGCTGCTCACGCCTACCTCTCTTTGTCCAAGGGGAACCCACCTCTGGCTCAGAACCCGGCCCTACTGCCCATACAATTTATTTCCCAGGTGGTCTGGGAACAGGCACAAACTGGCTGAGGTCAGAATTCTGTGTTGAGATCCCTGAGCTGGCCCTGAGCCCCGGTGTGTGTCCTCAGATCTACTTCATTTGGGTGACAAGGACTCAGCGGCAGTTTGAGTGGCTGGCTGACATCATCCGGGAGGTGGAGGAGAACGACCACCAGGACCTGGTATCCGTGCACATCTATATCACCCAGCTGGCTGAGAAGTTTGACCTCAGGACCACCATGCTGGTAGGTAGGGCAGGTGGGACACTTTCAGGGCCAGGGGTCAGTCCTAGTCATGCCCGGCTGTGATCCTCTTCCCCACCTCCTTCCCAGTACATCTGTGAGCGGCACTTCCAGAAGGTGCTGAACCGGAGTTTGTTCACGGGCCTGCGCTCTGTCACCCACTTTGGCCGCCCTCCCTTTGAGTCTTTCTTCAACTCTCTGCAGGAAGTCCACCCCCAGGTGAGTCCATCCCACATCCCAGTTCTCCTTGTATCGTCTGGGGTCTGAGCAAAGCTCTCCAACCCGCTTTCAGGGAAAGGCTTGGTCGCTGCTGAGAACCCATTCCTTAGGAGATTGGTAGGTTACAGACTAGAACAGCACGGCTGGAGGCTCCCCCTCAGGTGGGAAGGAAGGAAGGAAGGAAGGAAGGAAGGAAGGAAGGAAGGAAGGAAGGAAGGAAGGAGGCGGGAAACAAAGATTTGCCAACTATGAAGCCCAAATTCACCCACCAAACGGAAGAGTTCAATAACGGAAATACTCCTTACTATACTACCCTGTCCCTAGATGGAACTAATTTTCACCGTCAACAGTGAGTGGGCTGGCCACAGACCTCCTCGACAACAAGCTCTCCCTCAATTTGAACACTGATTAAGCTGGCCTTTTTACAGTGACCTAGCACTTGCAAAATTGAGCTGGACTTATAGCGGGCCAGCCGTCACCATGCATAGTGAAAAATAAACCTTCAGTGAGAACACTGGATGGCTTTTAACAGGACCAGAGAGCTAGCCTGCACCTTAAACACGAACCTTGCTCTTTTTCTGAATACCGACCCGGTTCTGCTAGTAAACATGTTCGACTTTGGTTCTTCCTCCTGCAACAGGTCCGAAAGATTGGAGTATTTAGCTGTGGTCCCCCTGGCATGACCAAGAATGTGGAGAAAGCCTGCCAGCTCATCAACAAGCAGGACCGGACTCACTTCTCGCACCATTATGAGAACTTCTAGGCCTCCTGCCCAGCAGCTCTGCCCACCACTGCCCAGCAGAGCAGAGGCCTTGGCCCGTGCCTTAACCCAGTATTCATTTCTTCTGGCTGCCTCAGCCTTGGCCCTCTTCCCGCCTCCCACCTTGGTCCAGGTAGCCATATGCTCAGGCATCATGTGTGGGCTCAGAAATCTCTAGGACCAGAATGTGTCTGAGCTTGGAGAAGGGGCCCTGTTTAAGAACTACAGGTTCAGAAGTAGGGGAGCTCTCAGGCTGGGGACAAAGTGAGGAGTCTTCTAAGGAAAAACGACAGTTCCAGAGACAAGCTGTCAAGTTCATGTAGGTAACTGTGAGCCTGAGGATGACGTGGTGGTACGGATGCTGGCATCTCTGAGCCCCCTTCCCCTGTGACCTTCCTGTCTTCCGGCTGGGAGAGGTCTGAGAGTGGGCAGGGGCGACTCAACGAAACCCTCAGAACCAGCCTCAGTGCACAGTGTTGTCAGACCCTTCCTCGCCCAATACCCGCCGGGAGCAGTGCCCCTCCGCCCTACCTCCCTACTCCAGTACTCTCTTTTTGCAAATAAAGCGTGTTGCTACCCTTGGGGTTTCCTTTTTCTGCCTCAGTTCAGGGTGAGGCTAAGGACACCATCCACCCAGTGGGCTTGGCAGGAATGTCCAGACATCTCACCAGTTATCTTCAGAGAAAAAAAAACAGCTAAGGCTGAGTACCACAATGGAGGTCCCTTCCCTCCTCTCGGGGATACCCTCCCTGCCTCCCTCTAGCCCGTGTCAGGCCGCTGAAGGCTGGTCAGGAAGGGCAGAGAAGCGTCTCTAGGGGCGGACAGCCGGCCTGGCTTCCTTCGGGACATCAGCTATTCCAGGTCTTCCAGGCAGCATGAGGAGACAGACAGACGTCTCCTCACCCCGCTGGGCCTCTTTTCCCACGGCGGGTCGCCCTTCCTGTCACGGAGGGACGCCCTCGCTTCTCAGACCACACACCCTCACTCTGGAGGGCATCTCCACCGAGTCAGGAACTCCCAGCTGAACCCGGCACACCCGGGCCGCGGGACTGGGTGGAGGACAGGGGCCTCCGGGGCGTCGGGACCACCGACCCGAGGGCGGCCGGGGCCCCGGGGCCGCCTCCCTGAGGCCCGGCCACCAGAGGGAGCCGAGAGGGACGCGCCTTCCGGCAGCGCGCGCCTTCCGCGTGGCAGCGCCGCCCGCCCGCCCGCGTCCTCCCGCCCGCCCTTTTTGTCTCTCCGCGCCTCCCTCCTCCCAGCTAAGCGGCCGCTGGCGGGAAGCGGGGCCTGCGGAGGCGCCGGGGCGGGGGCGGCGCGGCCTGGACGCCCTGCCCGGCGGGGGCGGCCGGGGACGTTCGGTCAAAGGAAGGATCGGGATGCTCGGGAGAGTGCTTTTCGCCGGCGGCCGGCGACCGCTCCAGCGCGGCTTTATAAACAGTCTGCGCTCGCCCCCGCCCCTCCCGGCAGCCCCCGAGCCCCGGCTGGCCCTCCGGGGACAGGGGCCGGGGGGGGGGGGGGGGGATGGATAGATGGATGGATGGAGACAGGGGACGGGGCGGAGGGCGGCGGTGCGGGAGCCTCCTTCCTCCTCGGGCTTCCCTCTGTGCCCAGCCCCACACAACCCCCCTGCACTCCAAGGCCCAGGATTCCTTCCCCTTTCTAATAAATTAAGGAATCTTCAGCGCCCGCTAGATCCTAGGACAAGGAGGAGCCAGGTTGGTGACATCGTGTCCTGGGTGAGGACCACAGCCCTCAGGCAGGTGACAAAGGCTGGGTCCAGGTCTATCGTAGCGCCCTGGTCTCACATCTACAGAGTCCGGATGGCCACAGGGTAGAGCAGGGACATGTGTTCCGCCCCCTTTATGGGCAGCTTGCGGCTGGCATAGTGGTGCACGATTTCAGGGACGCTGCTGAAGGGTGGGCTGTTCTGGCCCAGCACGTACTTGTGTTCCTTGGTCCGGGACAGCTTCATGTGCATGAAGCCCTGACTGCTCCTAGGGAGAGGAAGAGATCCTGGTGACCGGGGGGTTCTTCCCAGTCCCCTGCTTCCACCCCCCACCCCCCACCCCAGCAAATATCCAAAGCCCGGTTCAAGTGGGAGGTGAAGAGGGATGGGACGGTGGGGGGTTGAGTAGGTAGCATGAGACACTGACTTTGTGGTGAGAATATTGGGTGTGCCAAGAATGTGTGTACGGTGAGTGTACAGGGAGGGTGTGTGCTGGGGAAAAGTGCGGTGACCAGCAGCACCCTCTAGTTCTGTGGTCTCAGTCCATCAGCCTGTGGCCAAGGCCAGTTTAACCTTGTTTTAGAGACGGGCGCATGTAGGTCAGGCTAGCCTCAAATTTGCTACATAGTCAAATCAAACCTCTGATCCTCCTGTCTCTGCTTCTGGATCACATGTGTGGGCCAGTTTATGGGGTGCTGAGGACTGAGCCCAACGGCTTTGTACATGCTAGGCAAGCACTCTACCAGCTGAACGACAGGTCCAGCCTTACCCTCACCCTTCTTGAGCTATATGGCAGCACCTGTGAGGGGTTCCTGGAAACTCCTGGGGAGCCACAGATGCTCCTGGCAGGAGGGAGAATATGCAGTTCTGACAATCAAGCTAATCTTTGTCCAAGCTCTCCTTCGCAAAGTCTGGGGAGGGGCTACACTAATCTGGAAGCACCTCCCCCCCGCCCCCCCATCTAAGAACTCTCAACTGCCTCCTGGAGACATCCCTTCACTCTTCCTACTTGGGGCTTATGCTAAGCCCTCAGTTCATTCATCCAGCCCTGTAGGCCTGGAGTGACATTATCTGGAGACGCTGTTACTCGGAGTGAGGAAGGATAGAAAGAAAGATCGCAGTGGGGGTGGGGTGAGAGGGGAGGAGAGCCCCTCATCCTGGAGTCTGAAGCCCCATGCCAGCAAAGCAGCAAGAATTCTTGCACAATTGACATCTGTAAAGGCTGCTGACACAGACTTAATATTTCTTTCAAATATAGATGTTAAAGTAGCAATGAGCAGGTCTTAAGCCTGAATGTGTATGCCCTTGGGGGAGGGCCTCATACCTTTTCCCATACTTTGATTGAAAATTGTGGGAGGGAAAAAATTAAAAAAAAAAAACCACTGAAAACCCTGTTTACAGCAAAGATATCCCACCTTCCTGTATTCCGGTGGGTTAAACTTTTACCTTAGTGATTGTAATCCTATCAGGAGCGAACCAGAGATAAGATAGTAACTTCAGCCCCCAACCCAAATCCCACATATGACTATGGTAAAAACAAAACAAAAGTACTCACACTTGCGTATATCTTATTTTCTTCTGAGCACATCTTCTTCTCCTCATGTTTAACTATATACTAAAATAACTTTAATGAAAACCTCAAACTTCACTTCATAAATTGGCTAGTCCTGAAATTCTTTTGGTATCAAAGTCACCAGCCCTGGCCTGGCATGAGTTGAGATTCCTAGAACTCTTCAGGAATTCAAGCTGTTGAGGATGACAGTGGGACACTGAACCTCTTTTACCCGTACCCTAAAATGCTGGGCAAGAAAACACCTCCCACTATCTCTCTCTCCCTCCTGAACAACCCAGAAAATCAGTATTAGCTAGCCCTCTGCATTCCAGACAGAGACCCACTGAGCAAAGCTCCAGCCAGCTCTCAAATGCCACCCCGCCACACACCCTCATGTTAGAAAGTATAGGGGTGAGGCACTCAACAGGAACAATTGTCTAGACTGCCACAGGCCTGGTCTGCTAAGCCCTGGGTCTGCAACTTACCCACAGGCACAGGCTAAGGGGTGTTTGGTAGAGCACTGAAGCTTAATTTGCCTACTCCTAGCCTGAGCCCAGAGGAGCAAGAAGAGGGCTTAGAGGCCTATGTGTGGGAAACAGGACCAGTGAGGAGCCTGGTGGGGTATTTATGCACTATGTGATTAGTGCAATAAAAACCTGAATGGCCAATAGGTAGGCAGGAGAAATAGGCAGGACTTCCCTCCCGGCAGAGAGAATGCTGGGAAGAAGAAGGTAGAGTCGCCAGTTAGCCGTGGAAGAAGCAGGATGGGCAGTAGAGAGTAAAGGTAACCAAGTCACATAAAAGAATGTAGATGAAAAGATATGGGTCAATTTAAGTCATAAGAACTAGTTAGGAACAAGCCTAAGCTAAGGCCGAGCTTTCATAATTAATAAGTCTCTGTGTCCTTTTTTGTGAGCTGGCAGCCCAAAGAAAAATCCACCTACAGGCTGCCTCCATCTGACACTCTTGTACCAGAGGTGGGGATGGCACATTCCATCATTTGTCCCATCTACCTGGGTACAAGCAACAACAACAACAACAACAAACTTTGACTAGACCTATTACACCGGGAAACAAGTGAGAAGAATGGGAAACTGAAGAGGAGGAATGGATGGAGGGAAACTGGCCCCCAAGTCCACTCCTCTTAGGGTCTGTTCTGGTGGACGCTCCACCCCAGACCCTGGCATCATATACCCTGGTCTTTTTTTTTTTTTTTTTTTTCCTCTGTGTAGCTTTGCGCCTTTCCTGGATCTCGCTCTGTAGACCAGGCTGGCCTTGAACTCACAGAGATCCGCCTGGCTCTACCTCCCGAGTGCTGGGATTAAAGGCGTGCGCTACCACCACCCGGCCCCTGAAGTCTTCCTTAGGAATCTGCCTGAGTGTGGATCAGGATGTGGGGCCATCTGTTGGTCTGAGGTACTGTCTGGTGTACACAGTGACCATACAGGCCCTAGGGAAAGGAGCCAAGGGCATGAAGCCAACAGAGATCTGTGGGCAATGGGGAGGTAAGGCCGGATGCAGCAGCTTCCATGTGCTGGAGGAAGCAGTGTGGGCCCTGCCTTCTCTCACCTCACAATTTGAAAGTGACCTCCTTTTCCACAGTCCACTTGGGAGGACTACCTTTCTCAAAGTGCTCAGAGTGTTTTCTCAAGGAGCAGACTCACTAGGAAGGGTACCGTGGCCTCCTTCTGCATTACCAACCTCTGGAGGAGGGGGATCTGTGCTTTCCAACCTCCAGGGACTAGTCCCAAGGATCCATTAAGACACAGCGAGGTCCTTGCCAGACCCTCAGGGGGTTGGGTGGGACCAGCTGGGCCACAGGGCCCAGTGCTGGCAAGGCTTTTTGAGGAAGCTGTTTAATTACCAGTGAAAGCCCTTCCATTAGGGAAAGAAGAGAAACCATAATTGTATTTCAGAGAAGCCATTTATATGCAAACGAGACCCTGGCAGACAGCCACCGGGGCCAGATCAGCTGGAGCTGGAGCAGGCATCCAGACCTGCCTTTTTATTCCCTAAACTAAGACAGTCCCTCACCCCTAGTTGCCCAGTTCCACTCCAAAGACCCAAACCTTGGCGCATCTCCCTTTGTGCTGGATAATGCCAGATTTCTGGCATATGGCACCTGGTGAGGGGTGGAACCCTGAAGTCGGACTGAGCTAGGTCCTGGTGTTTGTGTATTTTGAAACAGTCTGTAGGCTGGCCTGGAAATCCTGGGTGTATGGAATCGTGCCTCAGCTTCCTGAGGAACCGAGACTGGTTACTATCAACATGCCCAGCTTGGAGACTTAATTATTAGCTGGTGACCTTGAGCAAGTAACAAAGCTCCTTGAATCTATTTCATCTGTATAAAAAAGAGATTTATCAGCAGAGAGGTAGTTGATTTGGACATGGTATATATGCTAGGTGGTACGTGCTAAGAATTTCAATTATAATCCTAGTAACAATGCACCACCTAAAGTTGTGTAAATCAAACTTGACAAATGAATTTTTCCAACATCCTCTTTTTGATTTTATAGCTCGTGGACCCCTAGAATACCAGAGCTGGAAGAAACCCATGGTATCAGCTCATTCTGCATGGGGAGAACCTGAGGCCCCGAGAAGTTAAATGATTTGTCTATGGTTACACAGCTGGCCTTAATCAAACCCTAGAATAAAATCGAGGCCACTTAACTCTCCTGGATACTTTCTCTGATCTCTCTGAGTGACCATGAATAATCATCTCTTAAACGTATGCAATTCTACACCCCTGAATTTGTTCAAGGTGTAGATACACCAGTATCTATGGCACCAGGGAATGTGGTGTGAGGTAGTGAAGATACTCCTGCAGTGGTGGAGGGAGGTAAATGGGATACCTCACTCCAGCTGGCCACCTTATGTAGATGACGGGCTATCCTGGGTAGAATTCCTGGTGGCCAAGAGGAGTGTTGGCCAATAGCAATGCTCTGCAATAGTAACTGGAGAGCCTGGGAGTCTGAGTCTGGGCTGTGTGGAGCTGCCCCCAAGGAGCAAGATGAGAGGAAAGGAGAGCCCTCTCTTGGCTACTTCTCCCTCTCCGCTCACACAGAGTTCCTCAGTGGAATGGCTTTGCATCTACTGCTGTCCTCCTCCAAGACCTAGGCCCCCACCTCACCCTGCTGACTACTTCAGGTAAAGCTCCCCTATCTCCTTGCCAGTGCCTCTACATGTCAGGGTTTAACAATGATGACAATAATAATTTATGAAGCACTTAGCGTGGTGCTTAAAAACATGCTAGGTGCTAAGGCGCTAAGTCAAGCACTAGTACTTCATTTAATCCTTCCCAACGAAATGGATCGTATTCAATCTTATCATAGAGAAACGGAGGCCCAGAGAGGTTGAACAGCCAGTGACAAAAGCCTTTTGAACTGGACACTAAACTTCAAGTGCTTTTTCCTTGAAGTACAGGGGCTGAGGAGTCTCTTGACATTTCAGGTTCCCTAGTGCCTGGGGTGGAGCCAGCAGATGTTCACAGGGCATGTGGCTCTTCCCAGCCTGGCTGGACTAGAAGAGACTATGAGAACCCTCTTCCGCCCGCACCCTACAGGCTAACGGGCTCCTCTATGCCCACGGCCATCCCCACTCACTTGAGGGAGAGAGAGAAGTCGTTCTTGCTGGTCTCACTGTTGCGCACCAGGTAGCTGGCCTCTTTGCAGAGCCGGAGCAGGTTCTCGGCGTCCGTTCGGCTGATGGCCCCATGGTACCAGCTGAGGATGAGAGAGAGGAAGGGGGGCATCTCTGCTGGGTCCCTCGCCGCCGCCGTCCAGGCCCACCCATTCTGGGTGTCCCCTGCAGGGAAGCCAGGCCGGGAGGGGAGGAACAGGGAAGGAGTCCCCAGTGGACACAGACACTCACACCTGGTTTTCCAGAGGCAATGCTGGATCTGTCCACTCCCCAAGGGGGCTGCTGGGTTCCACGCCTAGGGGCTTGGCTGACTTGGGGTTCCCAGCAGAAAGCCGGGGAGGGAGCCGCCCCTTCTCCTCCCGGCCGGGTGACAGGCAGTTCTTCTCCGATCCTTCAAACTGGGCTGTAAGGAACATACTGGTCATCGACTCTGAGGTCCCTAGAGGCAGAGCTTTCTCAAAGAGCCCATTCCCCACCCTACTTCCAAGACCCACAAGGGTCAAAGGCATATTCTGGGAGGGTATGCTCACTGCCCTGCCTGCCTGACTCCAGGGACAGAATCCTGGGCCACTATGGGGTTGGGGGAGGAGGTAGTCACTGAACCACACCAGGCCCCTTGGGGCTTCCCAGTCCACACTGGCAGGCGAAGGAGGACAAAACATGAGAAACCACTTAAGCTTTCTCCCTCAGCTGACTGCCTTCCCTTCCTCCATCCCCCTCAGGGTGGCTTCAGTGTTGATAATATTGTTTCTTTCTCCTCCTCAGAGTTCATTACCGTTCTCTAAATCGCCTTGCCAAGCCATTCTGTAAAAATGACGTTATCGATCTGAGAACAATTATCTGATTCCCCTTGGTGCCATCCTGACAGGCTAATCCTGTCCAAAGCCGCCAGACTGCCGGCCCTCTCCACCCCAAGGTCGCTGCCCATTGTTTTCCCTCCCCCATCCACAGAAGCCCAGGGACTAGCATCTCCAGGACAGGCCAGCCTGACACCCGAGTCAGCACAAAGGGACCCCCCAGTGGGTCACATGCCCACAGGTACACATGCACAGGTGACCCTCTCTCTACCCTGCATTTACAAAATATCTACAAATTCTCATGCACAGTGTACAACAGATGCTTATGCCTGTACACACACACCAACACCCACCCACACCCTTGGGAGTTCATTTTGGGCAAAGTTGGATGTAGAAATTGATGCCTTCTTTTTCCCCCAACGGAGCCTCTTTCTTCTTGTAGCTCTTGAATGAATGACTGCCTTATTGTCCCTCAGTCACCAGATGCCAGCACTTCCCCATGCCTCACAGATGCCTGCCTTGGTGCCCAAAGCTCCACCCAAAGAGAACTTCAATCTTAAAATAGTGGATTCTTTTTTTTAAGGCACAGTTCCACTCTATAGCCCAGGCTGGTTCTGGAACTATATAGCAGCTCAGCGTGGCCTCAAACTCAAGGCAGTCCTCCTGCCTCAGCCTCCCAAGTGATGGGATTATAGCTGACGGCAGTGGATTTCCGTGGCACAGTGCAGAACCTCCTAGGAAAGGTTGTTTTGGTTAAAAGACCATGCATACAGCTCTGGGGAGAGAGGGATGTGCCTGTCTTCTTGCTCTCTTCCCAGGGTGAGGGGAGTTCTTCCAACCCACGCCCACAGGGCCTAATGGGTAAAGGACCTATCACCCTGGCCACAAGTCCCCAAAGGACCCACCGCTGCTGTCCTCCAGGCTGGGCTCTGGGAGGGGTGAAGCTGGACCGGAGATGTCCCTGTCCCCGTCAGGCAGGGAGGGGCTGCTGTCCAGCTGTCCCACAGGCGGAGGCCAAGGTAGGTCTTTGATGACCTTTATGTCAACTGGAGCCAGCAGCAGGAGGGAGAAGAGAAAGAGACAGTGGCAGAGACAGAGAGAGGCAGAGGTTGAAACACCAAAATGCAGAGGCAAGATACACAGCAGCCTAGGAAGGAGGCGCAGAGGCAGAGGCAACACTGGAGGAGGGACAGGACTCCGAGGCCTAGCAGGGCCGGGACTAACGCCAGCCTTGCCTGGTAAGGAAAAGGTGGGAATCTTGAACGGCAAACAGGAAGGCATAGGATCTTGCTTGATCAGCCCTGACCTTTCACCCCTCACTAGCTTCCGGGGACCAAGAGGACCAGGTGAGTGGAAACATGGGAACAGGAGCTGCCCACACCTCCCAGGACCACACCCCGTTCCCTGACATCCCTTGTCTCCTTTTCTCTCCTAACCCCCAGCCTCGGAACTGGCAGGCCCAAGACCGGGGCAAAGCCTGGGGATTTCTGGAATACTCAGGCTTGGGGCAGATGAATTATGTTGAGACCAAATTCTCCTCTTCCCAGTCCTGAGAGAGTGACATCACCAGTGGCTGTAGGACCACTGACGAGGTTTCCTAATGATGAACATAGATTTTCCCATTAAGCAATCCAAACAGTATTGATTCTCCAAGGAGACCTCTGGAGATAAATGGCCCATCCTTGATGGGTGTGTGCTTTACAGGAAGCAAAGCACAAGCTTGTGGTTTCCCAGTCTGGCTGCCAGGGTGGGGAGGGGAGGGCAGAGCCAAGGGCTGGATGCAGGATGAGCTGCCTCTGTGTGAGAGGTGGTGTGTGTGTGTGTGTGTGTGTGTGTGTGTGTGTGTGTGTGTGTGTGTGTGTATAGGGACACAGAAGCAGGAATGAAATCTAATGGCATCTAAGCCCTCAAGATTCAGGCTGTCTCCCAATTCCAGGCCCTTGATCTACTCAACTCAGACTGCCAATATGTGCGTTTCCATGGTGGACTTGGGCCTGGGACAAAGTGGTATGTGGCTGGGACAGGAGAAACCCGATCTTCAGTTAGCAACCTCACAGCCTCCAACTGTAGCCCAGAAATGCCCTTGGAGCCAAACCCCCCTGGTATGGCAGGGCCTGCCGCTGGAGACGCAGCCCCAGAATCCAGGTTATATACATCTCTCTTTTCATCATTTGAAGTGTTAAATACCCTCTTTGTCAAATGTATTTAACATATGCCACAAGTTTCATAATTCTGTATTGGAATTTCTTTATTTTTATCCAGATCCTCAAAGGTAGTTACAGCTCAAGCCTCTCAGCCTCGAAGAGGTGAGATGCAGGAAACCGCCTTCCTACATCCTGTGCCCACACCCTGCACACAACACTGCAGCCACACTCCCCAAGTCCCAAACCCCATGTACAGAACTCCACTACCCTGCTCTAGAGCTCCACTCCTAGACCTTGCTTGGTTCCTAGGGTCCACTCCTTCCATTCTCCTGAGCCTGGGAAGCGCTCAGAGGCCCCAGCAGGGCTGCCCTCGATACCAAGACTCACCAGCAAAGGCTTTGGAAATCCGTTCCTTCTTCCACTCCCAGGGCTGGTCATACTCTTCTGGAGGCCTCTCATCATCCTCGGGCAGGCGGGATTCCCTGGGCCAGGGAGTCCCCTCACCTTCTGGGCTCACCCCCTCATCCTCAGGTTCATAGGGTGTATCATAGAGAGGTAGGGGCTGGACTGAAGTCTCCTTCGAACCCCGGATCTCTGCCAGGGCAAAAAGGAGAGATGCGTGGTGAGTAAGCTGAATCCTGACCATCTCTGGTAGTATTTCTCCAGAGCCGATGCCCTGTCTCTGGGGCAACTCAGCAGTCACAAATCCTGGTCCCTCACACTCAAAACATTTCCAGGGCTCTCAGAACATGGGACTCAGGGGAGGAAGTGGCAGACAAGTGGCGAAGGAAGACAGGAGAAGGATCCCAGGATGGCCAGCAAGAGCTGGGCATGTGAAGTAAACTGAGGCACAGTCCTCCTTTAATCTACTCTTCCTTAGTGCCCAGCTCCACTTCCTTATTCATTTACTTCCACTTCTGTTCCAGTTGAAATAACCACAGCCAGGAAATCCTCTGCTGCTCATCCACCTCTCCTCTTAAAAGTTTCCCCTTTGACCACAGAAGACAATGTCATCCACTGTCTTCTCCCCCTTGCACTGGTCTTTTCTCCCGGATCTTCTTTCGGCCTCTGTCTCCATACCCAGGTCTCACTTACTACTTTCTACCCTGACTCCTGACTGTTTGCCCCGACTTACAGCACCCCTGCATTTGGAGTTCTGGTCCTCTTCGCACAGGAGTTAACGATCCTTCATTTTGACATCAGCTCCCTTCAGACTCACTACCTTCTCGGGAGCTTGGGAAATCTTTTGGGGATCACTGACCCAAATCTGATAAAAGCCTCAGAGCTAACTTGCCACAAAAAATGTATATTTTAGGACTGGGACTGTATCTCGGTGGTAGAGCACTTGCTTAGCATGCATGAGGCCTGGGTTTAATGCCCAGTACCATTCCCTTCCCCCAGGTCCCACCGTCCCAAAAGAAAAATGCATGGGCTGGAGAGATGGCTCAGTGGTTGAGCACTAGTTGTTCTTCCAGAGGTCCTGAGTTCAAGTCCCAGCAACCACATGGTACCTCACAGCCATTTGTAATGAGATCTGGTACCCTCTTCTAGTATAGAGACAGACTGTATACATAATAAACAAATCATAAAAAAAAAAGAAAAGAAAAAAGAAAAATGCACACGTAAACACTTACATTTTCACGTATAATTCCAGGACACTCATGGCTCATGCTATCATCTCTCAGACCTAAACAGGGAAGCATTCTCACTTTCTCCACTTCTGGTCACTATGATGTTTCCCTTGGGCCTGACCCTACTGCATTCTTTTCCTTTTTTTTTTTCATTTAGTTTTTAAGCGTGTGTATGTGTCTGTGTGGATGCAGGTCTGTGCACATGAGAGAAGGTGGTCACAGAGGCCAGAGGTGTTGTATACTCCTGGAGCTGGAGTCACAGGCTGTTGTGAGCCACCAGATACGGGTGTTGGGAAACAGACTCGAGTCCTCTGCAAGAGCAGTCTGTGCCCTTGACCATTGTGACGTCTCTCCAGCCCCCCTCTGCATTCTAAATCTCATCTGCTCATGGCCAATACCTCATGACTTTCAACCTCACCTCTCCGTATCTAGAATTTTACTAGGACAAACCTCCACTTTCTGGACTCCCTGGAATAACCCTCCTGGGGTGACACTCTGTCCCTTCACCCATCTCTAAGGAGGAAGAGGGCGGTCTGATTGGCCAGTGAGTGAGTGCTCACTCTCTGCCTCAGCTCTGCTTTCTTGCAGACAGACAATAACTGGGGTTCTTTCTCTTCCATGAAGTGCGGAGGTCCACAGCTACCCTGCGCTACCAAGCCTGAGTGGGCAAGTTTGACTCTCTCGAAAAGTGTTAGGAAGCCCATTGTGCTAACTTTGCTACGTGATTATTCTTCGATCAACTTTACCAGTACTAAAGCTGACATTCTAGTCTCCATTAGCCCTTTCCTTAATCTTACGTCTTAATTATTTCCTCTAAGGAGAGGAAGAAAGATTTTTTAATTACTGGCTCCTTAGAACCCAAACAACTGGGCTGGACATGGTGGCACATGCCTGTAACCCTAGCACTTGGGAGGTAAGTACGGGAAGATTGCTATTAATCTGAGGCCAGCCTGGGCTACCTAAGAAGTTCCAGGCCAGCTTGGACTACGTATTGACACCATGTCTCATAAAACCAACCAAAAGCACAACAACATCAGAAGCCACAAGCTCGATCCTTTCTGAAACAGTGTGCTAACTCAACTCTACGACAGGCAGCTTCTCTAGTCCATTCTGTATACCACGGCCTCAACTTCCCCGTAAATGCCACATTAATCCTGCTTCTTCCTTTTGGCACAAGTCTAGACTCTTCACTCACCCTCTGCATTCTTCTTGGTCTCTGCCATCTCAGAGGCTAGCCAGCACTTCTCTGGGCCTGCTTGTCCTCTCTGTTCACCCCCACTCTGACCCGTTCCCTGGGTCGTCTCTTGGCCTGTTCCCCAAGGGCAGGTCTGACTCAGTTTTTTCTTCTCCAACTGGGAAATACTCGCACCACTCCATGACACCTGATGCATCTACATTTTCAACAGCTGTCAGTGTTTCTCTTCGACAATGTCAGTTCATACTCATCACACTTCCAAGACTACTGACTCTTTGGGGGCTGTTTGACTTGATCTCTACCACCATCCTGCCCCTCCGGTCCCCAGTGCTTCACCTGGGCCTTTGCTTACGTGGCCTCCTCTATGGCCTCAGGCGTCACACCTTACACCTTCTCTTCCAAAATGACTATCTTAAAGGCCCTGGCCACATTCCTGAGGACCGGGCACAAGCTCTCTCCCCATTTTCCAGGGACCACAGGACCAAGGCCTCAGGGAGCATCTCCCTCATCCTCAGTACTTACCAGCCATCATCTTTTGGGCCTCATAAGGCTCCATGTAGCCATCATTTTCGGGGACCTTCTCTGGAGCTACTGAAGTTCCCCCCGAGCTTTCACCGGTCTCCTGAACATCAAAGGGGTCTGCGTAGTCTTCTAAGATTGCCAGCTGTGGGGGTCGGCAGAGAGAACGAGGCTCAGACATGGGCAAGCCGCTCTGCTCCCCGGGTAGAGATGGGGCTTCTTTCTTTCCTGCTAATGTTCCGCCCCGTGGTCATGTCCTAGGCTAAACAGTCAGCAGGAAGCCACTCGGTCTTAGGAGTTTATCTTAGGGTCCAGGCTGGAGCACAGCCTGCACACAGTGGCTCACCAGAGAGAACTCAAAAGCACTGGTCACAACTGTGCTACAAGGGTTGGAAGAGCAGCACAGCAAGGCAACAGAGATCGGCCCAGTGCAGCCTGCCACACTTCCGATGGTCAACAAAGAAACAGCCAGTGACCGCGAGAATAAAGCAGATGGTGATGCACACGCCCCTAATCCCAGCACTCAGAAGGCAGAGGCAGGTGGAGCTCTGGGAGTTCCGGGCCACCCTGGTCTACATAGCGAATACCAAGCCAGCCAGAGTTCCATGGGAAGACCCTGTCTCAAACAAAACACAAAAAGAAAAGAAAGCAGAGACATCACTTCGTCACCATTCTGATGTTTGATCCTTATCATGTCCCTGTCATGTGGGTATCATACACTCTCTTTGAAGAAACTGGAGAACAGGTAGTTAGGGAACACACCCCAAGCCATTCTGCTTAAATGGAAAAATCAAATTGGAGCTCTTGCTATTTGTGCACAGGGCTATCTACCTGTAGCCAGTGGGCTTCTCAGCCTCCTGGGAGAGAAACGCCTTGGGGCGCCCTGGGACACTACTGAGCGCCCCTGAGGTCGCATAGGTCAGGACAGAAAGCCAGTCTTAACTTCCCATTTCCCCGGCTGCCCATCTCTTCCTCATGCAGTGGTTAGCCATCAACTCTCTCCCAGTGAAAGCAGATGAATTGAGGTGCTCAGGTCAGGGTAGGGCTGAGGACAATGGGGTTTTTCTCCAAACTGGGCAGGAGAAGGTAGGACTCACCAAGCCAGACCCTGGAGCACTAGAGCACTCACTGGGTCACAGGTGGAGTCTGCGGTGGCTCTGGGGCCTGTGCCACAGGGAGAGGCCAATCCTGCAATTCACCAAACTGAAGCCTAGACTTCAGCTCTGAGCTGGATCAGAGCTGCGGGAGTCAGCTGAGCCAGGCGACCACCCTGCCCTCGGTGAGAGGATCTGAGAACCGGGGCCTCTGGAAGGATGAGGTGGACAAAGAACCAACCCTACCTCATGCATCCCTTGGCTGTTCCTTTGACCCCATCTGGCCCATCTACGGATTTCTGAGGGTGCCCCAAGCATGGCGGCCTCTAGCTTATCCTCAGGTGTTTACTACTACCTTGTTTCAGTCTGGCCCTCAGCTACTTTACTTCCTTTCCTACCTGCCTGCTTGGAGGACGTCACACCAAGCCATCAGTACTCCCAAGCCATGTGCCAGCCTAGAACTCTCATTTTTGTGTCTCTAGCTCCAATAAGCAACCATCAGGGGTACTAGAAAATCTTTCTACTGTGTCACCACCCCCACCCGGGCCCTTCACCCCTAGGTCCTCCTTTCTCCAGGAAACAGAGAAATCCATCACACCATCCCCGGTCAGCGGCACCTACAGCATCACCCACTGAACACTGCTGGCAGCTCCGCCAGTGGGCACACAGCATCAACTCCTGTGCGACAGCAGCAACTCAACAAGTGTCTGAGTCACCTGACACATTATCCTCAAACCTTACAAGACACAGATCGCCAGTGTTTTGAGGAAAGAGTTTAAGGTTAAAGAACGTAAGATTCTCCTTTTCTCATTGGACCACTACTCTGAAAGCATTATGGTCATTTTATTCAACTGTTTCCTCTCTGCCTGGACCACTTTCCCGTTCTGGCCAATACTTACTCATTTTTCTTCCCTCAAAAGACCTTCCCATGCTTCTCCAGGCCTGTGAGGTGCCTCTGTCCCGGGCTTTGATCGCTTTGTGTGGCAAATGCTTGTTTTCCTGGGTGTCTTCAGGCAGACTGTGCACTTCTTCCAGGGGCAGGGCCCACACTGACAGCTAAACACCCAGGAACTGAAAGCTCTCAGTGATTACATTAAATCCATCTCATGATGAGAGGACTGGGCAGAATCACTCTTCCTCGATTGACTTAGAAGAGGGAGAAAACATGAACCTAGGTAGAGTAGGGTCATAGAGGAGGACCAAGTCTCTCCAAACAGGATTGGGTTCTAACCAGCTTCTCAGTGAGGTCAAGCCCTCAACACCCTTCCTGGGGCCCCACTTCAGAGCCCTTCCAGGCCTTCCCTCTGCAAGCCTGGTTAGAGCTGCACACGGTTGCTTCTCCCTGGAGTCCTGACCCCTCCCAGGCTGGTGTGGGCCTCCCCAGCGCCAGCTGACAGTGCCCGTGGGCAATCAGGTGGCGGTTTCACAGGCAGCTCAATGGCTCCTCTGTTCCACTCCTGGCTCCACACCCTGCTCCGGGAAGCCCCAGACCCCCGCCCTGGGCTGGGGCATCCAGAGGGCTACCCACAAGGTGGCCCAGAACAGGAGTGACAGCAGAGGTACCAGCTGGGAAGGCTGGCAGGACTGGTACCCACTCTGGGCACAGACAACTCCAGCCAGAGCCCAGGCCTGCTTGCCCAGTGCTTCTGTGTCTACAGGGGGATAAACTGCTTACAGAAAAACTGTCCCTGTGGACTGTCTGGCCTACTCTGATTTGTTGTTTGTGGCCTTGACCCCCTCTGATATGCCCACTCTCTGCCCAGTACCCATCACAAGCCCCAGCACACCATAGATACTGAATTAATATTTGCTAGAGCTGCTACACAGGCTTCTATCCCAGAGGTGACACCAACATGCCCCACCCCCCACCCCAATCGCTCTGATCCTCCAGTGGCCAGAGTGGCAGTGGGAGGGTCAGGCTCACTGGAGAGTCTACTTCTGAACAGGGATCAAAGCCTCTGGCTCAAGGGCAGATGGGAGGAACTGCCAGTTAGGGCACTGGAAAGGCACCGGACACGAAGGTGACATTGAAGCATCTATGGCCTCTGTTCTAGCCGGCATGCCACTAACATGCTGAAGTACCTCCCAGCAAGGAGGTAGAGCAGGCTACTCAAAGGGGCCCGTGTCCCTCCCCGCCCTCTCTTCTGCCATCCGGTAGGTTGTCTCTAGGACCCTGCCACCCATCTGTTCAGCTGGGCAGTGGCCCTCCCGGAGCCGCCTCAGCCTCCTCATCTCCTTCCTGCCCGCACCCCTCCCGCAGCTCTCCCACGGTAGCTAACAGGCCTGCCATCTGCTTCCCTCTTCCGCGCTGCAGGTGGCCCAAGCAACATGTTCCTGAGCCGACCATGGGTTCCGGGGCTTGCAGAACAGGTACTCAGGGACTTCAGAGTTCCCAAACTCACTCACTGCATATTTCCTCCACTGCTTCAAGTTTACATTTAGTGCCTTTTCACAGGCGTTTCCAATCCCCACCCCCAATTTTTAGGTTTATGTTTTAGTTTAGGGTTGGGGACATATCTCAATGACAAAAGCATTTGCCTAGCATTACAAGACCACCACCACCACCACCACCACCGGAGGAAAATAAAAATCACTTGTCCATTGACAGTCTGATTCTGTTTAATTTAGTATTTCCCCAACGTATTTACAGTCACTGAAAACCTATGAACTAATCAGTGTGGTTAACAGTACAGCACTTACTTTCCTGAGGTCAAACATCTGTCCCTGCTGCTCCTACTTACTGTAATACCTTCTCCTATTGTCTATGCCTGGGAAATGCCAACATCAAACATATGGGTTATTTCCCCTTTTCTAATTACAAAAGCAATGCCATACTTACAAAACACTCAACCACCACAGACATGTGGCTGCTGCCACCAACCCTCGTAAGGCCTTGGGGTATACCATGTCTGTGCTCACTTCAACACAGTCCCACCAGGGCTAGGCCCTCGTACTCGGGAAACAGTGAATTCAGCACTGAACTACATCATCTCTTCTCTAAGAGTCTCTCGTTGCTAGTTAGCAAATGCTGCATGAATACCACCTCTCTACTGGGCACTAGTGGCAGGTGCTGAGGGCCCAGGCGTGGGGCTCAGTCCCAAGTCCTACTGTGTTGTAGACTTCATGACTCCTTCTCGCTAGCTGAGAAGTCCTGCAAGTGCGACTCAACATCCCTGTGCTTCTGATCCCCGTGTACAACCCCGGGATAGAGTCTTTATTACAGGGTTGCTATAAATGCTGACTGGTCCAATACACATTAGCTGCTGGGAAATGGCACCAGGCACAGGATACATGCTCAGGAAATGCCAGCCGCTGCATCACTAAGGTCAAAGAGATCAAATTTTGGGGTCCTCCAGGAGCTCATACTGATAGACACCTCTAGGAAGGTAAAGCACCTGGAAGGGTTCTGAAGTTACCCACAAGCCCATGGCACGCAGGAGCTGGGCCCCATCTTCGCTCTTACATAACGTCATGTTGGTTCTGGGATGAAGACAAGTAGAATATGCAGGAGGTATCCCTCTAAGCACTCGACCCCAGCCAGGACTCGCTTAGCTCAGGCAGCTTTCTTTTCCCATCCACCAGCACCAGGGGCTCAGCTGTCGCCAGCTCTCAGAAGGCAGAGTGCAAGCAGGGCTGCGATGGTGACCGAGTCGCTCACTGGCCAAGCCAGGGCAGATGTCTCCTAGACATCTGGTTCCAGACTGTGGGACTGCAGTGTGAGGGGGCAGCACTAAGAAAACAGGCCAATCCCACAGTCCATCAGCAGTCGTATTCTTCAGGCATCCTTGAAGTGCCAGTGATAACACAGACAATCAGCCCAGGGTGGGTCTAACTGGGCCACAGAAGTCCCTCCCCTGGACTCCTCCCTCTGCCACGACTTTCCCCTTTATCTCCAACACAGAATAAGCACAAGATAAGCAGACTTCCACACTCTTGAAGGCATGGGAAGGTGAGCTTAAGGGAAAAAAAAAAGAGAGAGAGAAAAACCTCAAAAGAAAAAAAAAATACCAGGAACAGGTGTCCCTCTCAGCACCCAGGCCAGTGTCACAGAAGGACACACTACACATATGAACACTGGCTATGAGTCCTCCACTACATCGGGACAGGAGGCCTTGATCCAATACAGATACCTCTTGCCTCACTTTGCTGTTCCTGCTTGCCCACTTCCTTCTAAAAGGGGCCTTGATGACCCAGGCCTGTGCCGTACATCTGTGACACACATCTGTTATTAGAAGTTCTCAATACTGGGGCTAGCAAGCTGGCCCGGGGGGTAAAGGTCCTCGCCACCAAGTCTACTTCAGTTTGATCCCTGTGACCCATATGGTGGAAGGAGACACTGGACTCCCAGAGATTCCTCTGACCTTCCCATGTGCGTCTGTGTGTGAGCACACACACAATATACATAAATGTTTAAATTTTTTAAAAGGTTCTCAGTATAGGGCTAGAAATACAGTACAGTAGTTAAGAACACACACTCCTCTTGAAAAGGACCTGAATTTGGTCTCCAGCACCCTCATCTGGTCGCTCACAACCTCCTGTAGCTACAGCTCCCAGAAATCTGATGCCCTCTTCTGGTCTCTAAGGGCACTGCATTCACATACACAAAGCCATACACAGATACATATAAACATAATTTTTTAAATTGTTAATGAATACCACTCTGACAGGCTATAAACTCCTGTAAAAATCTCAGAGCTATGAGTCTTTCCCCATAAAAATGAGAAATATCTACACACAGTTGGTGGGTACTCACCAGCCCCAGGGTCTCACCCACGAGCTACGAATAAGAGGTCTGGTTTCAATACGGGGGGGCGCCTGTTTTATTATCCATGTCCGGTCTCACTTTCTATTGGCATCACAGAGGACACACTGCAGATGTGATAGGCAAGTCAGCCTTCATTTAATCACAGTCTCATTCCCTTTCCCTAATTAGATCACGTTTTTTTCCTGCTGAAGCTTGGAGAGCAGTGAACGAATGGAGAGGAGGCCCAACATGCTGGCCCTTCTGCCAGAGCCAGGCCTGGAGGTGGGCTGAGGGCCCAGCACCAGAGGGAGTTCTTTCGGGGGCCATCTGGCCAGGCCCGAGCTGCCGGTTGCAGGGTGTCGATCTTGCTGTTCCCACACCTGCCCTGCCAGGCCTGGCCAGATGGTCAGCTGTGTGTCTGCCAATTATACCAGTGGGTTTCAGGAGGGGCTGGCAGCCAGAGAGCCCTGCATAGGAAGAAGGCTAATGAACCCTCCGGGACGTCAGGGCCCTGTCCAGATCCCCATTCCCTCCCGCTTCCCCACCCTGTAGGCTCCTTGGCTTCTCCAGCCTAGCGTGGAAGCACTTCTAACCATTTCATCCAGCCTCGGGATACAGTCCCTCTTGGAGCATCCTGGCACCTCTTTCTGCCAGCCAAGGAGCTCTGCAGAGCTCCAAAGAGGAAGGAAGCAGCCACACAGCACAGAAACAGCAGCTCGGCTGGAGTGGAGGTCCAGAGGTGGCAATGTACACGTGTCACTCTGTAGGCCCTAGGGGTGTTTGGCCACTTGGTTTAGGGTAAGAGCTCAGGCACCTTGTTGGACCTAGCTTTTCCCAGGGGAAGACTCTAGGATCTCCCAAAGTCTTTTCCTAGATTGTAGGGAGTTGATTGATCTCTGAATAATAAGAAGCCCGTGGTCAGCCCCTGGGACAGCTCAGATGGCACATCCTGGATCCTTTTATCACACCCACTAAAGAAAGCGCAGATTGTGTGGCTCCTGGGAAAGCCTGTTGGATTTCATTCCTGTCTCTGTGGCTGGCTGACAAGAGAATCAGACACCTCTTGTGCACCCCCTCCCCCAGGTCTGAATAACCCACAGATCAGAGCGGACCCAACCGAAGCGCAGATGGGCTTGGCAAGAAGGTCCTGAGGGTCTGTGTGTGTGTGTGTGTGTGTGTGTGTGTGTGTGTGTGTGTGTGGCTACAGCTCCTTCCTTGGAGGCTTCTGGGAGAAAGTGGAAGAACTGTGTCTTGGAAGTCCCTGAGAATGGACAGACACCATTTCAGGACATTGTGCCAGACACTGCAGAGACATGAAGGAAAAACAGACATTTTCCTGGAGGAACCCACAGCCTGGTGGGCAGCCTGTTAGGCCATTCTAAGCCACGAAAGGAAGGAAAATAGCCAAGGACAGCTTAGGCCATGGGCCAACAGCCAGTGGCCAGAGAGGAGGAGACTAACTGGTCAGTGGGAGGACAAGGCCTAGCTATTCCCCTCTGCTTCATTGCCATCCACCAGCACATCATACAGCAGCAGCAAGGGCCATTAGGAAGGAGACAGCACAGCCTGGGAGAAGCACCCTTGAGCCTCCCTTTACAGCTTAAGGATGCTGGGCCAGGATGGGTAGCCATGCTCCATGGAAAGAACTATGGGGCGAATGATTCACCCATCTGGGGTTCTTGTTCCGACCTTGACACCTCTCTCTTATCCAGGAAGCCTCGCCCGACAGTACTCTCTCGGCCGAAAACCTCAGTTCTGAAACCTGAGGATTTGGACATGAACTGCTCTCTCATCAGATAAAAATCTTCTCCACGGAGGAGACACCGGCTCTGAGACACGTGGAGGACAGCAGGGCTGGGGGTGGCTCATGGAGTTACCATCTTCCAATTTAGGGGTGGGGGAGACTAAGGACGGCTTTTAGCCGTCTGTCTTCCAGGACAGGATAAAACTGGAATTAAGAAGGAAAGCAGGTGTCCTGGGGGTTGGGGGGACTGTTGGGAGTTTTCCTCTTTTCCCCAGCGTCTGCAGATCCAAGAAAAGCTCCAACCTCTCTCAGGATGGACTGAGGAAGAGGGAGGCCAAGCGGAGATGGTGAATGGACTTGGCTGCTCAGCCCTAACTTGGCAACAGGTCCTGACCACCAAGTGTCCTCCTCATATTGGGGGGAACACTGGAAGGAGTGCGCCCTGTACCCCAGTGGTGAGTTTCTTCGGCAAGAGCTGCACAATGCCCATCTTGGCGTCCGTCGTCCAACAGCTCACCCCCTCTAGTCTCACTGGGAAAGGCAAAGGCCAGCGCTTGCTGTGTTCACATAAGAAATCTCACTTTTCAGTTCCTTTCTGGGGCTTCAGACTGCAAGGATGCCTGGACTCCGGGACAGGGTGGGAGGAAGGAGAAAGGGGAGGGTGGGAGAAGCTTTGTGCAGATTCTGCCTTGGGGGAAGAGTCAGAGATCAAAGGGCAGAGAAGCCGCTGCTCTGTAGAGGGCACAAAGGCCATAAACCAGCAAGGGGGGGGGGGGGGGGGGGTGCTTCTCCATGTCCGTTAGAAAAAAAAAAAAAAAAAGGCTCCAGGATCAGGGTGGAGGTTGCAAAGCTCGTACCCATGAGGGAGCAGGTCACCACCAGTCCTGGGGCCCTAACAGGAAACAGGGCAGTTTGGGGCTCAGATTAGTCGGTGGAGAATCTAACAAAGGGGTTAAAACCTGAGCCCCCGTGTCAACCAGAAATACTGACAGCTACAGGCTGAGCCCCAACCAAGCTACCTTTGTCCCTCTCCAAATCTCCAGACCACAGACCACCACCCCTCCTGGCCACCCACGCCCGGCGCGGCACTCACCCTGTCGCTGCTGGCATGGGGTCCGGAGATCCGCTCCTCCGGAGGGGGAGCTGGGGGGCCGGGGGTCTCGACCCGAATGAGGCGGTGAGGGGGTGAGCCGTGGCGCGGGGGCGGAGTGGGGCCAGGGGCGGCGGGGGTGGAAAGGGCGGCGGACACGGAGGAGCCCCCGGAGTAGGGGTCCTCGAAGTCGCGGTCACGCTGCAGCCTGTAGGCGGCCAGGATGTCCGGGGGCGGCGCAGGGGGCGCGGCCGGGCAGGGCGCTGGGGGGCGGTAGTCCGGCTCTGGGGGGGCGGGCTTGGCGCCCCCTCCGCCGCCGCCCCCGCGAAAGCCCAGGTGCTCCCGCAGCCACTTTGCGACTCCACCGCTGCCGCCCCCTCCCGGGCCAGCCCCCGCACCCCCAGCCCCGCGGCGAGATCCCCCGGGGCCGCCCCCCGCGCTGCCCTGCGCCCGCGGCCCCGGGCCGGAGCCCGGAGGAGGAGCTCCGCTCAGTAGCATGGGGTCCTCCCAACTGAGCGAGCCGACCGCGGGGCGGCGGGGGCGGGGCGAGAGGGGGCGGAGCTGCGCCGGCGGGAGGGGCGGGGCTCGCAGTGACAAGAGGGGCGGGGCCCGCTGCCTAACGGGGACCGGAGGACTGGAGAGAAGTGGGTGGGAGACGGAGGGGTGCGGGGTGTGATTGCCGCGCCGAGGGAGACTCCTCCACGTGTCGCTGCGCGTGCTCCTGGGGGTGGGGGGGGGCTCCCTGGTCCCATCTGCTCTTCTTCTCCAGCTCCCCACTTGGCGTCAGACGCGGAAAGACGAGCCCCCAGGCACATCCCACCCATCTTATTCCTTCCCCACAAGCCCAGAAACAACACTCTCGAAGAAGAGTCTAGGAAGAAACTGTTCTTCAGATGTACCTATTACTACCCTCGCCTTGGGAGTCTCGCCTACCTCCTCCTATCCCTCAGCTCATACCCAAATCTAGGTTGCTTTTCTATCCAGGCAAACTTCTCACATCGCATGTAATCAGTTCCCCGGAGACACCCATTGCTCTGGTTTCCACATACACCCACCCGCTTCACATGCTAACAGCCCTCGCACAAACAATTCCCAGCCACGGTCGCATCTGCCTCCAGCAGGCCCACACAGCCTTGAAGGTGGCACAGCTTTCTTGTGGAAATCCCTCAAGCTACGCCCCGGGTTTGTCAATCAGGTTACTGACAGAATAGAAACAGACAAGTCAATAAATCAAGTCGAGAAACAGTTGCAATATTGTCTGTCGGCAGCCCCTTACCTCTCAGGTCCCCAACGCTGCTCTGATGCCCAGGTGCTTGGCGTTTTGTCTTAGAAACGAAGTGGAGCTTTGTAGCCCCAAAGCTAAGGCCAACAGGTACCCCCACAACACACCGCGGAAAACTATGTGCTTTACCTCACCGTGGCACTGGCTCTGCACACTGCTTCTGTGCCTCGTCACTCTCTCGGAGTTGCTTATGGTTGTTTCTGAGACAGGGCCTCATACTGTAGCTGGCCAGGAATTCCCTGTAAAAGCTCAGTCTGGTTTAAACTAGCGATCCTCTGCCCCAGGCCCCAGAGAGGGTCGAGTTGATGGGTTAGCACCACTCTTAGTATGAGCAGAGAAAAGGTAAGTCTCCAAAGAGGGGTGAGTTCAAAGCTAAGGAAGGAGGGTGTGATGGGAAAACAGCAAATCTATTATTCCTATGAATCCAGATTTCAAATATGTTAAATTTCTTGCTGTGCGCAAATTCTAATGTATGTGAATTCCCATACAGTGATGTGATCTCTGATCTCCTGGGGTGGGGGTGGGGTGTCTTGTTGTATTGCAGATTATCATTTTTTTTTTCAGGTCTAGCTGGGGTACTCCCAGGTAATACAAATGCTATTGGACTCCAACTACACATTGGATAGTGGGCCTACAAAAGACACTGAAAACTGTCGCTTCGTGAGGTATAATACAGAAAATAAGAGGTTCCCACTCCAGAGTGTACAGTTTAAAATATTAACTAACAATGCAAAGGGGAACAAAGACATGGCAGGTACCTGAGGAGATTCTAGCTAATCCCTATGAAAGGGTCGCCACAATCACCAAATGAGAAAGGATGGAGGAGTCGTTGGTCAGGAGTCAACAGCTGGATGATCTAGCCAGCTACGTGGGCAGGACAATGCCCCTGCTCCTGTCCTAGAATAGGGTAATGATAGTTGTTGGTGTAAAAATTAAGGGTGACGAATGATATGAGCTAGCTTGTTTGTGACTGGCCCTTGCTATGTGGCCCTGGCTAGCCGGGTAGTTACCTTGCAGTCAGGCCTCAGATTCACAGCAAGCCTGTTGTCTCAAGCTTCCCAAGTGCTGGGGTTACAGGTGTGAGCCACCCCACTAGTGTTTACTTCAAAAAATGTAAAATGCGGGGAGCATGGTGGTGCCTGGTGGCTTGGATGAGAGTGCTCTCCATAGGCTCATATGCTTTGGGGAAGGATTGGGAGGTGTGGCCTTGCTGGAGGAGGTGTGGCTTTGTTGAAGTAAATGTGTGTCACTGAGGGTGGGCTTTGAGGTTTCGAAAACCCACCACAGGCCCAGCCCCTGCCACCCCTCCCCCACTCCCTACCTCTGCTTGCTGCTTGTGGATCAGGACATAAAGCTCTCAACTACTTCTCCAGCGCCATGCCTGCCAGCCTGCCACCATGCTCCTCACCATGATGATAATGGACTAAACTGAAACTAAACAAGTCCTCAATTAAATGCCTTCTTCTGTAAGTTGCCTTGGTCATGGTGTCTCTTCATAGCAACAGAACAGTGACTAATACATAGTACACACACATAAATAAACAAACAGTTCTTCATAAGGACTTTGTGGCCAGCCTGGGCTGTCTGAAACCCTGTCCCACAGACTAAAACAAACCTGCAGTGATGACTGGGTGTGGTGGCACACCACTTTAATCCCAGCACTTGGAAGGCAGAGGCAGGAGGATCTCTGGGAGTTTGAAGCCAGCCTGGTCTACATATTGGGTTCCAGAACAGCCAGGGTTACATAACAGAGAGAGCCTGTCTCAAAAAGCAAAAACAGAACCCTGTAAAGTATGGTGGGCATGCCTATCATCTAGCACTTGGAGGCTATACCAGGAGGAGTCCCTTGATGCATTCAAATCCATCCTGGGAGACTCCTGTCTCAAAAAACCAAGAAAGTGGGAGCTGAAGAGACGACTCAGTGGTTAAGAGCACTTGCTGCTCTTCCAGAAGGCTGACTTTGGTCTCAGCACCCATGTCAAGCAACTCCAGTCCCAGGGGCTCCCACACGTCTAGCACATACACACATATAAATACAGGCAAAATACCCATACACATAAAAATAAATAATTTAAAGAAAAAATCTAGTATAGGCTTACTAATAAACGTTAAGAGAAAGAGAAGTTCTCAGTAGAAAAGCATGGGTGTAGGCTTCTCAAAGAACAGCTGAAGAAGCAAGACATTCCCATGTGTGGGTACAGGCTCCTGTAGGCTCCCTAAGAGAGTAACGCTCATTGCTTTTGGTGGCTTCTGTTTTTTACAATAATCATAATTAGGATTTTGGAGGGGTTTGAAGTTAACATATTCAAAGTGCTGCTAAGAAACCCAAATGAGACCACAAGGTGGTTCCTCAGGGGTCCTGGACAGGACTATAATTGATAAGGTGACAGCGTAGCTCACAAGGATAAATGAATGTAGGATAACTTTACTATGAGCAAAGCTAGCTGTTCTGTTAGAGATTCTCAGGAGATGTTTGGGGAAATGAATGAGGGCCTACTCAAGGTCATATACTCTCAGAACTTAAGCCTGCTATTACTGTAGTGTGAAATATCAATGTATGACAGGGAGATGAATACTATGTTGACAGCCTTTACAGCAAATCTTGTTTTGGAATTTTTTAACATTTAAGAAATGTGTGTGTGATGCCGGGCGGTGGTGGCGCTCACCTTTAATCCCAGAACTCGGGAGGCAGAGGCAGGCAGATCTTTGTGAGTTCGAGGCCAGCCTGGTCTACAGAGAGAGATCCAGGAAAGGCGCAAAGCTACACAGAGAAACCCTGTCTTGAAAAACCAAAAAAAAAAAAAAGTGTGTGTGTGGTGGGTAGCTGTTCTAGCTTTGACCTGGAAGTACTACCCCCAGTGAGGCTTCCAGTAACTGTCACGCCTACCTATGGCCTGCCCCTGAGGTGGGGTCAAGATGAGACCCCTTAAGACCTGAGATCCGGATGTGCTGGCTCTCTTGGTTCCTGGTGATCCTGGATGCTGGATGGTAGACTGAGTGGAGTTCTCCAGAGAACACCTCTGGACTGCACCTCACCTCTCCCAGATCCTGTAACCTATCCCTTTACTTGTTGTAAGTAAAACCCCCAAATAAACCTCCCTTTTAACTACGTGGAGTTGCCTTAATACTTCCACCAATGTGTGTGTGTGTGTGTGTGTGTGTGTGTGTGTGTGTGTGTGTGTGTGTGTGTGTGTATAGGTTAGAGTTGGTTGTCTCCTTCCAGAATTCTACCGGGAATTGAACTTAGGTCACTAGCCTTGGTGGTAGGAACCTTTCGAGGCTTCAGTCAGACTCTTGGGCGAGAAAAATCTTCTGTTTCCCCCATGTTATTATATGTTTCCCTGTCTTTCTATACTCCTTCAAGATTTGGATAGATGAAATAAAAGGTGAAGTGCCTTTCCAACCCAGGAGGGCATCGTGAGTCAAGCAAAGGCCTAGAGGCGGCCACAGCATGCGGCAGACAGTGCTCACAGGGGTGGGACTGGAGGGTAGGAATCCAATTACTAGGAAAGGGGACAAGATCTCAGAGAGGCAGGGGGATAAACGACGACATTAAAGTTATAGCACAGGGCTGGAGAGCTGGCTCAGCAGTGGAGAGCACCTGTTGCTTTTGCAGAGGACCTGGATTCACTTCTCAGTGACCACATGGTGGTTCACAACTGCCTGTAACTCCGGTTCCAGGGAATCTGATGCCCTCTTCTGACCTCTAAGGGCTCCGGTACACCCATGGTGCACATACATTCAGGCACACACAGACATCCACATAAAAATAAATATATTAAAAAAAATCATTTTTCGCCGGGCGGTGGTGGTGCACGCCTTTAATCCCAGCACTCGGGAGGCAGAGCCAGGCGGATCTCTGTGAGTTCGAGACCAGCCTGGGCTACCAAGTGAGTTCCAGGAAAGGCGCAAAGCTACACAGAGAAACCCTGTCTCGAAAAGCCAAAAAAAAAAAAAAAAAAAAAAAAAAAATCATTTTTCAAGCTGAATATGATGGCTCACACCTTTAATCCTGGCATTCTGGAATCAGAGGCAGGCAGATCTCTGTGAGTTTGAAGCCAGCCTAAACAAGCCCCCGACCAGCCAAAGCTGGTGAGAGCCTATGGGGGAAAAAAAAAAGAAGGAAAGAAAGAAAGAAAGAGAGAAAAAAAAAAAGCAAAAGTAATTTTTCTTTCAGGGACAGGAGAGATGGCTTCATAGTTAAGAGCACTGACTACTCTCCCAAAGAGCCTGGGTTCAGTTCCCAGCACCCACATGGAAACTTGGGAGCCTTTGTGACTCTAGTTCCAGAGGACCTGACACCCTCTTCTGGCCTCCACAGGTACCAGGCATGCACATGGGGACCAGACATGCATGCAGGTGAGACACCCATACACATTTAAAAAGATCTTTTTTCAGGCTCTGCAGTTAGGAGCACTTGCTGTTCTTCCAGAGTACTAGAGTTTGACTCTCCAAACCCATGTCTGGAGGCTCACTACTATGTGTAACTCCAGCTCCCAGGGTATCTGACACTGTCTTCTGGCCTCCATAGGCAACTGCACACCCATGGTGCACACACACACACACACACTCACACACACTCACTCACTAACTAAATTAATTAATTAAAAAACCAAATCTGCCAAAAATAAATTTTCAGTGTGATATAATCTGTTGCTATCTGTCTAGTTTTATTGCTTTGAAGAAACACCATGACCACGGCAACTCTTATAAAGGAAAACATTTAATTGGGGCTGGCATAAGGTTTCAGAGGTTTAGTCCATTATTGTCATGTTGAGAAGCATGGCAGCATGCAGGCAGACATGATGCTGGAGAAGGGGCTGAGAGTTCTACGTCTTGATCCTCATGCAACAAGAAGTGAACTCTGTATCACACTGGGGTTAGTTTGAGTATATAAGACTTCAAAGCCTTCCTCCATAGTGACACACTTCTTCCAAGCAGGCCATACCTACTCCAACAAGGCCTCTCCTCCTAATAGTGCCACTCCCTATAGGCCACACATTCAAACACATGAGTCTAAGGAAGGGGGCATACCTATTAAAACTACTACATCATTATTATATGATTATTCTTTCTGATGCTCAAATTCTCCCCCTTTGGCCAATGAGAGCCTTCTCAAGAGGTGCCTGTGTGCTTTTTACTTGGTCTCATCAACTTCACATCAATCTTTTCTCTTTCTCAAATATGTGCTCTGTTATTCATTAAGACTGAGAGTGGGCTCCATTTGTTCCAACTTAAAAAAAAATACACATGGGTGTTGTGCCTGCTTGTACATCTGTGTACCATTTGTATGCCAGAAGGTATTAGATCCCATTACAGGTGGTTGTGAACCATTGTGTGGGTGCTGGGAATAGAACCCAGGTCCTAGTGCTCTTGCCACTAACCCTCTGCTCCTCATTGTATCAACTTCTGTTTGTCCTACATAGGTTTGATCAACTCATTTTTTAAAAAAATTAAATTAGAGCCGGGCGATGGTGGTGCACGCCTTTAATCCCAGCACTCGGGAGGCAAAGCCAGGCAGATCTCTGTGAGTTCAAGGCCAGCCTGGGCTACCAAGTGAGTTCCAGGAAAGGCGCAAAGCTACACAGGGAAACCCTGTCTCGAAAAACCAAAAAAAAAAAAAAAAAAAAATTAAATTAGTTTCCAATGTTTATAATTATGGGACATCTTGCATAAAACTCCAAGCTCCTGGCTTCTCCTAAAACACCAGAAAGTCTGGCACACTGGGCTATATTCCCACCAAGTACAACTGGCAGAGGACGAACAGCCGTGGTGCCTTCGAATGAATTCACACTGCCAAAGACTGCCTTAGGGTTTCATTGACGCTCCAAGCTTTTACCACCAACTTTCACTTCTTCTCTTACTATCATGTCCCTTTGAAGGCTGGGAAAAATGAAAGGGAAAGTGGAAGGGAGTGAGGAGAGGAAAGGAAGGAGGAAGGACGTGGGTACAGAGGGTTCGTGTTCCTGGAAAATGGGAGAGCACCACTTTCTTTTTGTAGAATCACAGATTCTCTCTTTACTATGAAAACAATACGGTTCTATACTGAAAGAACATAGCATAAAGCAAAATCTTGCAATCATAAAGCAAACCTTGCCACTCATTTATAGGCTGTAAGGAACCTCCTGAAGCCAGGCACACTTACGTATATTGTAATCTCAACTGCTCTGGAGGCTAGAGGACTGAGTTTGAGGCTAGCTTAGCGAGGGAACATAGCAAGATCTTGGGGGAGGGGAAAGACAGAAAACAAAAAGCCCTCTGTTCAAATATTTATTTGTGGAGCTGGGTGTGGTAGCATACTTCTGTAATCTCAGTGCTTGGGAAGTTGAGGCAGGAAAATCCAGAGTCAATTTTGACAACAAGGTGAGTTCAAGGCCAGCTACATGAGACTCTGCCTCAAAAAAAAAACACCAACAAAAAATCGAGGTGGAGCTGTGTGTGTTTGGAACACAATCGTGGTCAAAACTTAGAGAATCTGAATGGTGGTGCACATCTGTGATCCCAGCCCTGGGAAGGTTGAAGTAGGAGGATCACAGTGAACATTTGGAGAGATGTCTCAGTGGCTAAGAGCTCCTGCTGTTCTTGCAGAGGACTGGGGTCCAGTCCCAGCACTCCAGTTCCGGGGTCCACCACCCTCTTTTGGCCTCCCTGGGTATGCGCTATACATGTAGGCAAAATATTAATACATATAAAACAAAATAAATATTTTTAAGATCTTAAAAAACAAACAAAAAAACCCAAGTCCTAAAACAATGAAAGCCACAACAAAAGCCGGGGTAAAACAAGCAACAAAAAAGACTCAGTGAATCCTGCTGGCAAACGCCTTGCATTTTCTAGCTTTAGTGGACTCACATTGTATCTTTCTTGGCACTAAGAGATGAGACTGAAGGGCTTTCAAGTGGACTGCCAAGACAATTTCCTCTTCTAGTCTCTAAATTCAGGTCTGAATGGATAATCTCTTTCTTCTCTTTTCTTCTTCTTCACCCTGATGTTCTCTACACGAACTAGATGGGAACCAGGACTGGGAGGTGGGAGATAGAAGGAAGACAGGCCTCAAGATGGGTGGAGGGTCCCTCAGTGTGAGCTCCCTTACCCACCTAGGCAAAGCTATCACTTCGTGGTCTGTTCCCGTATTATGATTTTTGGGAGTTGGAGGTATAGGTATTTCATGGAAGAAGAGGACTATCTTTACATATATGAATACGTAAGTATTTTTTTTTTTCACTATCATGACAAGATAACAGCACTGGAAAACGGCAATACTTGGAGGACGAAGTGAAGAATGAGAACCTTCCGGTTAGCTTGGACACTTGCCGTCTGTAATTACGGACGAACGACGCAATTTTTAAAAATAAAAAACGGGGAGAGAAAAATACCACAAGGTCACAGGGGTGCTGTTTCGCTTGTGTTGAGTGGCTTAGACACAGGGTTCCAGGAGGAAGGGATTAGAAGCTGTTCGAGCTGAAGCCGTATTCGGAGCGTTAAAGAATTCTTAGAGGCGGCGATCTTTAGAAGAGCTTAGTATTCAAGGGAGAGAGAGAGAAACCGTGGTTCCTGTAAGAAAATGAAGACTCAAAAGAAAAACAAAGTCGGACCCCTTGCCGTGCCATTGTTGCCACAATGCCGTGACTCGGATTCGAACCGAGGTTGCTGCGGCCACAACGCAGAGTACTAACCACTATACGATCACGGCGAGCTACCGGGGACCTGTAAAATTGCCCTTCCGAATATTCTCTTCAATACTCATAGGCCATCCCACTTCCTGCGTCACTAAATGACCCAGCTATTGGGCGGGACTCCAACCTATGGCCTGAGAATGCGCAGGCGCATCGCGCCGCTTGCTGGGCTTTTTGGTTCCTTAGTCCCGGGCATAGAATTCGCTTGTGACAGGTGTGGGGTTTGGCGGGAGACCCTTGAGCGTCCAGGGACCCGAGCTGACTGTCTTGGGGAGGCCGGGGTCCGGGGGTCTGGACACTTGCCTGCGGGCTCTGCAGAGTTCCCGGGCCTTCGGGGGCGCTCCCTATTGGATCTCCCGGCTGCTGATCGTCCCCCGCCCCCAGCAGTGACCCACCACGACCTTTGCGGAGGGGGCGAAAGTCCTCAGTCCGGGGTTGACCGTGTGGACCTAACCCAGTGACGGGGTGTCAGCCTCAAGCCCGCCCGCCTCTTCCTTCCAGCCTCTCCCACTCCGGGATGCTCCCTCTCGGCTTCGCGCCCACCTCTGACCCCTCTGGGCGGCAGCTGGGACTCGGTCCGGTTTTTCCTCCTTGTCCATCCACGCTCGCGCCCACGCGGCGCCTAGAAGGTGACGGCTTCCACAGAGGGCAGTGGCTGTTTACGAAGCAGAGGATGTGACAGCACTTTCTGACAAGTGAGTTCAAAGTGGCCACTTTTTTAACCCTCTCCTACTACAGGGCCACTAGAGGTCTCGCTGAACACCAACTAAATCCTTTTCACCATTTCAACGCCCGAGGCGGCAGGACATTCTCCTGCTTTCCCTGCTCGCGTGGCTTTCGGTGTCATTCCCCGGCCCCCACCGACTGTCTGGTGCCCATTCAGTCAACAGGTCCCGCCAGCACGGTGGGGGCGGGCAGGCTCTAAAGAGGACCCAGGGGGAACACTTGGGAGAGGACTCACAACGCCTTTTCATGACCGTGTTCAAGTCTTTGCACGTTAAATTGCTGCTTGACAGAGTCCCATCCTACTTAATTAAGAGCTGTCTCAAGGGTCACTCCCTCTGCGGAGACTCTTCATCACTCTGGCGTCTACTCCAGTGCTTTGATGGAAGCTTGTAGAAAGCCAAAGCTGTATAGGAAACTTAGAAAAAAAAAAAAAAGACATCGTACTTTTAAGAACACGTACACATAGGTATGTTACACTTTCCAGGCTGACGTGTTCTCTGTACTTTGTAGTGAAAATGTATTTTCATCATGAACTGGAATGGAAGCCTCCTGTGTTCTGCTAGTCCAATTTAGCCAGAACCGGTTGGTGTAAACGCTGTTCTTAACTGTCACCGGGGTTTGAGATCCATTTTCCGGAATGTTAGGTCAGGATTAAAATGGAACCGAAGAACAAAACACAGCTCCCTTGCCGTGCCATTGTTGCCACAATGCCGTGACTCGGATTCGAACCGAGGTTGCTGCGGCCACAACGCAGAGTACTAACCACTATACGATCACGGCGAGCTACCGGGAACCTAGGGTCAGGGATCTTTGCTTGATCTCTTCTCTATTCGTTGTCCCGCCCCCTTCTGACGTCACTGGCTTGCTGGCGTTTGTTTCCGCCTATCATCAACGGCGGGACTCGGGAGTGCGCGCAAGCGCTTTGGTTTCCCTGGCTAGGTCTGCGCACTGGCCGAGTGAATCCCTCCGCTTCGCCGCGGTCTTAACAGCTAGGGGCTGAGCCCTACCCCCCCTCCTTTTTTTTAAAGGCAGGGTCTCATTTCGTCCAGGCTGGACTCGAACTCGAGATTTTCCCTCCACCATGTCCCGAGTTTTAGTTTTCCCAGTCGCGATCACGCGGGGCTTGCCAGGCACTTTCATGTTGGTCTTTGTGTGTGTGTGTGGTGCGTTCCCAAGGCCAAGCAGAAACGCGGGAAATCCGTAGCACCTCGTTACGGTCAGCTGGGGTCTGTGAAGTACAACAGTATAAGGATCGCGGGACATTGGTCGTTCTCATCTCAAGGACGCCACTGGATACGGGTTACGACGTGGCGTTCCGGTAGCTCGCCGTGATCGTATAGTGGTTAGTACTCTGCGTTGTGGCCGCAGCAACCTCGGTTCGAATCCGAGTCACGGCATTGTGGCAACAATGGCACGGCAAGGGCGCCTTTTTAGCCAGGTCACGTCCTTCCTGGTGGCGAAGTCGTTGTAACGCCTCGTTAATTAATCATCCTCCCCCCAAGCTTGGCTAATTCTCAGAGATGACATCTGTTCCGTGGGGACTTAACGTTGCAACTTTGACAGATCAAGTACCACTGTATCATGCTTTTGGATGTATTTCTCCGAGATACTTTCCTCATTTTTGCCCCGCCAGTGGCTAAGCCAACTATTAGTCCTTTAAAAACCTCACACGACTGAAAACTCCATCACAGGTGACATAGGAAGAATAGGAACAACGCAAACATTAAGAGTTAGAGTGGGGTGGGTAGGAAAACATACCAAACCACGTGACAAATGAAAGCTACCACCGTACTTGAGGCGCTAGTTCTTGTGGCCACTGTTGATTGCTAATGAAAGCCTCGTGGGTGCCGGTGTTTTCTCTTGGAGCCTCCTCTAACCAGTCTACCTCAGGTTAAAGCAAAATGCACTTACTGCTTTGTTTTATGTGCTTTAAAAAAAAAAAAAAAACAAAACTCAGTCTCAACAAATTCAGTCCTGTCCTTTGGCTTTAGGCCAACTGGAAGTGAATTCTGGAGCTGGCAAAGGCATGAGAGAGCTCCTCCCAGCGGGGTCTGGGGTGGCAGTACAAGTCCGAAACATTCCTGGGAAAGATGGACAGTGTAATGGGGTTGTGCTCCTCTTTTACCCACAATCCATCAGGAACTCCTTACTTACTGCACAGTGCCTGAAATCAAGACTTCATTGCACCCCCAAAGCCCGGCAAGAAAAAAGCAAAACAAAGCAAACAAACCAAAACCAAACAGAAAACACCCTTGCTTGCGTGCTGTAATTTCCCTGGGTCTCCCGGGAGTTTACTAGATTTGGTGAGTTTAAAGCCACATAACAGGACAGCTTGTATCTTAAGAGTGTTCTGAACAGGACACATAGGAGGTGAACCTGAAAACCCATTAAACTGCATTAAAAGTTGTGTATCTAGGAAATCAGCGTCACCAACAGAAAGCAAACCAGTCAAGTCACCAGGATTGTGGTTCGATGTTCCTGTGAGCTGCACCCGGAATGGGGAGTGGGAGTGTTGCAAGCATTCCTTCCTTGGGAAGATATAAACGACGTCTACCCCCTCCTTCTAAGGTCCCAGCAACAAACCAAAGTGCAATTCTACCAAAGGTCCCCCCAGAAACTAGAAGGTTTTTGGGTGTACTTACTTAGCATGAGTGAGGGGTTACTGGCAGGTGACCAGAAAGCAGCCACATTAGAAAGTGTTCACCCAGCAGGATGGCTTCTTCCCACAGTCACATAGATGGACCCCACTTCAATCCCCTAGCATATAAACTGTATTGTCTCTGGAGATCCGAGGTCATGGGCAGTTAGGGCAGAATGACATACAGGTAGCCAGGAAGAGTGGCTGGACTCTCAGGGAGAGTTCAGTGACCCTCCCCACCCCTTCCTTCTTTGAGAGAACAGCAAAAGACCACTGGCTCAATCATGATGGCTTCTTGCAACCAGGCTCAGCTGATCTGGTCAAGTCCGTGGCTATTTTGCTTGGATGACCAGGGAGGAAGGAGCAGTCACTCCGATATTTATTGGTGCAGAAACGATTTCATTTTCTCTGCCAATTAGGTCAAAGGCAGGAAAAGTTTGAAATTCAAACAAAGTCAAATTTTATTCAAAGTGGACAATTTTATTAGAGTTTAAAAGAAAGAAAGAAAGAAAGAAAGAAAAAACTTCCACAGGGCAGGCGAGCTGTCAATCTTTGCAGCTGCCCAGAGGAAGAGAATGGAGGTGAGAAAGGAAAAAGCCATGCCGTTCGAATTAAACCAACAAGGAGGGGGTGGATTAGAGAAAAAGTAAGAAAGCCCAAAGTACTGGGGGTGGGGTGAGGGTGGGGATCATGTATAAGCTCTGGTCTGTAAGAAATAGCCAAAAAAGAAGAAAAGGGAAACAGTTATACCTTTCTTAGTCAGGACTCATTGAGGTGGGCAGACCCAGCAGGATCTCAAAGCGGCCTGTAGGGCTGTACTGGGGGTGGAAATTCTGAGAAGCCAAAGTATGAACTTTTGTTAAAGAGATAATTATGCCACCCATCTCTTTAGCATGGTTTAAGGTGAGTCTTCCTAGGGGTGGTCCCTTAGCAAGATGATTGACGGCTGAACTCGATTAACTAACCGTCTTACGTTTTGGGTAGCTTGGGATGGGAGGTCTACACCCAGGCAAGAGATTTCATCCTGTTGACAGAAGGAACTAGTTTTCCCTGAATGGGCTTTTCTGTTGCTATGTCAACCCTCTATAAGCATCACACGTAAAACAACCAAGAAAACACAACTCAGAAACATCTGGCACGTAAGGTACCCCACTGGTCACCCGCCTCTGTGACCAGGATGCAGAAGGAAGCTAAGTGGATGTGTCATGACCCAGGTGCAGGAAGAGTCTGTGGGTGGAGTGGGGGACAGGAGGGCAGAGGAGGATGCTCTCCTGCGTTTCCCGGAACCGGCCTTTCAGACAGGAATATTGTCGTTCTGGACATGGGTCAACCCAGCAATCAAAAGTTTGTAACGTTCCTCTGTTAGGGCCGCTCTGCCAGTTTTCCCTGCTCTGACTTCGGGGCCCCAGATGAGTCTTCGTCAGTGATATGACTGCCAATTGGACTTGCCCGCAGTGAAGAGCAAGCATGGCTATGCTCAAACCTCTGAACTGTTGGCTGGTTCACCTTACTGTGGTTTTACAGTTTAGACTCCTGGGTATGGCGGGTGTGATTCATTTCCTCTGCTTATCTCGGGTGATGCTGTTTCTGGGATGGCAAAGCCAAGAGCTAGAGACCCGGAGAGCCTGGCCTGGGATGACCTCAGCACGGTCCAGTTGGCCCACTCCGTGCCCATCTGGCACCCTCCTTCCCTGCTCTCGCTTTTTTAAAAAAATTTTTATTTTATTTTTGGTTTTTTCAAGACAGGGCTTCTCTGTGTAGTTTTGGAGCCTGTCCTGGATCTCGCTCTGTAGACCAGGCTGGCCTTGAGCTCCCAGAGATCCGCCTGGCTCTGCCTCCCGAGTGCTGGGATTAAAGGCATGCGCCACTGCCACCTGGCTATTTTATTTTTAAAACATTTTTTTTCTTAATTCATTTTACATACCAACCATAGATCCCCCTTTCATCCCTCCTCTCGCTCCTCTCCATTACTCCCCCAACCCCTCATCCTCACCTCCAACAGGGTAAGTTCTCCCATGGGGGGACAGCTAAGCCTGGTTCATTCAGTTGAGGCAGGACCAAGTCCCTCCCTGCTTTATCAGGGGTGAGCAAGGTGTCTGACCATAGGTAATGGGACCCAGAAAGCTGGCTCATGCACCAGGGATAGATGCTGATCACATTACCAGGGGCCCCTCAAACAGACCAAGCTACACAACTGTCTCCTATATGCAGAGGGTCTAGTCCAGTCCCATGCAGGTTCCACAGCTGTCGGTCTAATGGTTCGTAAGTTCCTACGAGTTTGGTTCAGTTGTCTCTGTAGATTTCCCTATCATGATCTTGACACCCCCCCCCCCCCCCCACCCCCCCGCCCCCACCCCCACCCCCGCTCATGTAATCCCTCTTCCTTCTCTTTGACTGGATTCCCAGAGCTCGACCTGGTGCTTCACTGTGGATCTCTGCATCTGTTTCCATCAGTTACTGGATGAAGGCTCTATGATAATAGTTAGGGTAGTCACCAATCTGATTACCAGGGTAGGCCAGTTCAGGCACCCTCTCCATTGTTGCTAATAGTCTAATCTGGGGTTGTACTTGTGGATTCCTGGGAATTTCCCTAGCACCACATTTCTCCCTTACCCCATAGTGTCTCCCTCTTTCAAGATATCTCATTCATTGCTCTCCCACTCTGTCCCTCCCCCACGTTCTCATCCCTCCATCCCCTATCCTCTATTGCCCCCCCTCGTCGTCCTCAGTTTACTCATTGGGATCTCCTCTATTTTCTCTTCCCAAGGTGATCCGTACATCCCTCCTTGTTTCCTAGATTATCTGGAGCTGTGGGTTGTAGTTTGATTATCCTTTGCTTTATATCAAGTATCCACTTATGAGTGAGTACATACCATGTTTGTCCTTCTGAGTCTGAGTTACCTCACTCAGGATGATATTTTCTAGTTCCATCCATTTGCTTGCACATTTCATGACGTCATTGTTTTTCACTGCTGAGTAATACTCCATTGTGTATATGTACCACATTTTCTTTATCCATTCTTCAGTTGAAGGGCATCTAGGTTGCTTCCAGGTTCTGGCTATTACGAATAATGCTG